ATGTGGACGATAGCAGGAATACTCATGAAGATCTTCAGAGAATAACAAGATTTAGGAACATCATGCTACAGTGATTCAGCATTTCTTTTCTCTTTAATTCTCTCAACAATCCATTGAGGAAATGTTGCCAGAAAAGACCCTTGCTTAAGAGAGAAGTAAACTGAGATACACACACATTAAATTATGCAGAGCCGGAACTAAGCTCCCCATCTCCCCATGACATTTGCTGAGAAACCAGGCCTTGTGTTTTCTAGTCTATTAGCTGTATTCCTAGGTTAGATTTTCTTAAAAGAAATGAGTCCCTTAACAAATGGGAAGGAGGATGGGTTTGAAGACCATGAGGTAGAGGATGAAAGGAATTTGAGAATGGTGAAGTCTGAGAAAGACAGAAGATTTTTTTTTTTTTTTTTGGAGACAGAATCTCACTATGTCACCCTCAGTAGAGTGCTGTGGCATCACAGCTCCCAGCAACCTCAAACTCTTGGGCTTAAGCAAATCTCTTGCCTCATTCTTCCAAATAGCTGGAACTACAGGCACCCACCACAATGCCCAGCTGTTTTTTTGTTGTTGTTGCAGTTGTCATCATTGTTAGCAGGCCCCGGGCTGGGTTTGAACCCACTAGCCTCAGTGCGTGTGGCCAGCACCGTAACCACTGTGCTATAGGCACCAAGCCAAGACAGAAGATTTTTTAAGGGGATTGCACAGAGGTGGTATGAGTCTAGTGATTCTTCTAAGAGTTAATGCGTTGGTTAGAGAGTGACCAAAAAAGAGCCATCCTTTGACCATCAAGGATACATTGAGAAGTGTATCCTTTCTTAAGTTTTATTCTATTTAATTTTATTTTATCTATCTATCTATTTATTTATTTATTTATTTTGAGACAGAGTCTCACTTTATCGCCCTCAGTAGAGTGCTGTGGTGTCACAGCTAACAGCAACCTCCAACTCCTAGGCTTAGGCAATTCTCTTGCTTCAGCCTCCCAAGTAGCTGGGACTACAGGTGCCTGCCACAATGCCCGTAGTCCTGGGTGTGAGCCAAGGGGCATCTGAACAAGAAGTTCTAGGAAATCTTGGTCCTCAAAGTATGATCTAGAATGGATGGTATATTCTGGTTGGTTCTCACAGGAAGGAGCAAAGAGTGTGGGCCCTGTAAGGGGCAAGATCTAGGCAAGCAAAAAATAGTCTTACTTTTTTTGTTGTTGTTGCAGTTTGGCTGGGGCCAGGTTTGAACCTGCCACCCTCATTATATGGTGCGGGTGCCCTACCCATTGAGTCACAGGCACCACCCCTTTCTCACATTTTAGATCTTTGCAATATTTATGCAGGTGTCATTTTATATTTTAGTGTTTTACTTAATGTATTATGAGCATTGCCTTATATTTCTGTGTTATCACATTTTCATCAATTTTTGCTTGCAATAATTATGCATATGATTATGTAATGATTATAGTATATTAAGTGCAAATACCATTTATCCTATTGTAATTAATTTAGTGGCTTGTAACTTTCCCCTTCTATAAATAATACTATACTAGACACTTGTATGCATAAACGTTTTTCCTTCTCTATTTCCTTAAGTGATCTAGTAGTGAAAAATTAGTTCCCTGTCCAGGAAGATGTTCTTATTACTGTACCATTGTCAGGGGCAGCCAGAATGTTCTAGACGGAATCTACCTGAAGTCAAGAAATTGTACAAAGGGATGTCATGAGGTTCCAGGAAGGTTTAGGTTCTGATTTTCCCTCTCTGTTTCCCCATAGCCTCTGTGTTCACAAGTACAAACAATTTGACTACTATTACTAGAGAGTCATCCACCCCACAGACCTTCTCAGTTGTTCCTACAAATGTATCCCATGGGCAAACTGCAACACCAAGTACCAGTGTTGGAAGCACCAGCCCATTGCCTGTCTCTCTGGGCAGCAATCGGACCACAGAAATCATCTCAGGTAAGAAGAATGTCTGTCTCAAGTCCCAGAAAGATGCTGCTGATGCCTGGGTAAAGCATTTAAGATGTTTGCAGGCAGCTCCCCTCACCACAGATGAAATCAGGCAAACACCTTACATTAATGGTTTGAACAGTATGCTTAGGGTACCTTAAGTAAGTTCTAGATGATTCTTTCCGTAGTAACAGCTTCTTCGGACCCATGCTTGGCAGCCAATTTTGATGGGTAATGCTTCCTGTACCCCTTCTCTCACACTGAGTTTAGCTTAGTGATGAAGTAAGGATCAGACGGGGACTCCATAGAGATCTCTGATCTCTTCCAAATGAAAAAACGTGGCAGTCTTTAGCTTCTCTGGGGGTGGACCAGCATCTATTTTAGTCTCAGAATCCTGAGGGCACCTCTCATACATCCCAGATTATAGCTATGGTTCTGACAGCTGGCTTGAAATGAGTTCAGTCAGTGTTAGGACATGAAGTGACAATTAACTCCCCAAACTCCCCTTTTTGTGTGTTGAAATTCGTGCTCGTGTCATGACCTGAGATTGTGTGTGTGTGTGTGTGTGTGCACCTGCAAATGTGTGCACATATGCACACCTGTGTTTTGATCTATTCCAGAGACTACAGCCAATTTCACATCTACCTCTGTGGTCACTCCAGTCCTCACAACCACAAACTCTTCTGACCAGTCACAGACCTCTCTAGTCGTCACAGCGTCCACCACCCTAGCCAAATTTTCAACTTCAGAGATGACCCGGAAGCCTAGCATATCACCTGGAGTTGTTTCAGGCCCCTCACTCATCCACACCAGCTTTAAGCCATCTCCCACTGAACCTTATATAACGCCTTCTCCTACCACAAGTACCATCAAGGTGGGTGAATTGGGCCCCAAAATGGCAGATTGCGCCCTCACTTCATATGTACGCTCTGTCTTCTCTTCCACCTGTCCTCATCCCCACCAATGGGTGTCAGTTCTGTCGGAATCAGCATGGAGACACACAGTTGAAATATTGATGGGAGAAGTAGAAAGGGTGATGAGGGCTAGAGTCAGGTGACAAGGCTGATAAGGGCTTTAGGTACTGCATTTTAGGGAGCAGAGAGTTAGGGGGATTCTGGGTGATCCATCCAGTCCTCTGTGGTTGTTTTCAGTACCTATTGCTGTCACTGACCAGGGCACCATTCCCCTTTGGCAATATTTAGAAATTATCTCCCATTTAATGGGGCTGCCTTTTGCAAAATGTTTAGAACAAATAATATGTCCTCACTCTGAGAGGGTTTGGTGGTTGTGCCTGGCAACTGTGCAGACCAGGGATGCTGAGCTCACCCTGTCCTTCTCGGCCATGGGGCTGGTGGCTGTTAACAGCTTCTAGCATGAAAGGCAGAAAATGTGAGCGTGTGGAGCTTGGGCCAGGCCTGAGCAATCTATCTGCTTTCCATTTTTGAAGGAGCCAGAATTAAAATCTAAGGGGTCTGGGGGACCAGGAGGAAATGGGTGTTACTAGGATCTGCCAGACCACCCCATTACCTGTTTGCCTGTATGGCTTCCCACAAGGTGGATTTCTCTGGTGGGAAAACAGTCCAAACGGGAAAAGATCCTCCCCTTTCCCATTCCTGCACCATCCAAGCCAATGTTTACCAAGACTGCAAATAGCTACTTGTCTGCAAGCCTAGGCTAGCAACAAAAGTTTATTATCTGATGAGGTGAGTTAGAAGAGACGAGTATAACTCTTAGAAATCTCTAGTCCCCTGACACATTTTAAATTTCCTTTTCCCTAAAATCTTTTAGAAGAGATTACCCCATAGAAAAGAAACTGGAAAAAAGGTGGGAATGAAGTGAGCTGCAAAGAGACGGGCTAATTCATTTTGTTTTTGTTTTAATACAGGGAGAAATCAAATGTTCAGGCATCAAAGAAGTGAGATTGACTCAAGGCATCTGCCTGGAGCTAAACGAGACCTCGAGCTGTGTAAGTCAGGCCCCTCTCACTTTGCTTCCGACCGTCCCCTCCCCTAAGCCTTTCTGAACTAAGCCTTCTTGGACTGGACTGGACTTTGGTAGAGGTGAGGGGAGTTGAGCTGGGTCAGCTTACTTCTTTACAGAGCTTTTGGTTTGGGGAGTAAGAGGCCCCATCTGGTGGGCAAAAAAGGCAAAAACAATTTTAAGTTTTCCCCTCCTCTATAGTACATTTAGTATCTACAGAGGGTGCCTAAAGCGTATACGCATTTTAAGAGAGGAAAAAACTGTACTAAAATTATGATATTTAACACATACTGATAACCGAAGATAAATACAAGTCACAGGAGAGCCTCTTGTCATTGCAAAAGTCAAAGGTGACTTGAGTATTACGCATTTAATACAGTGTTTTCCTTCCTGAAAATGTGTATACATCTTCTGGCACCATCTGTGTCTATGCACATACCTACATGTTGCCAAATTTAAGTTTGCTTTTTTGTTAAGAAAGTCCTCTCACTATTTAGATATAAACTAATCAGTCAGTTCCTTTATTATTGTTTACCTCTATCTCTAATCCACACAGAACTGATTTTGTTGTAACATTGTCTTCTTTCACATAACTATTTTTCCTAACATTACTTATGGAATGAGTATTTCCTTTAGCTTATTTCAGGTTTTTTAATGTCCCAGGGCATATTCTTCAGAGATATTTTCTTTGTTCAGTTTGTTTCTGCTTTCGCCTGTTTTAAATTTTCAAAACTATGGTAATTTACACTGCAGTACTTTGAATCTCCATCCAGGAAGTTCTTTCTCCATACCACGGTAGAAAATGTGAAGTATTTTTTTTCTTTTAGAAAAGATACAAAAAAAGAATAGCATTAAACTTTTAAATGGAACTACTCTAAAATCCCTCCTTTTTTCTTCTGTTTTTTTTTTTTTATCTCTTAGTATTTCACATTTTTAAAGATCATTTTTTTTTCCTATGGGTTTGGTGGATTTCTGAGAGTTATCTATAACATAGACTTCCCATCGTATGTTTAAATTGATTTTTGCTGATGTGTTAGAAAGTTAATGGAGTTTTGAATAATTATCTTGGGCTTGTCCATTTTCTTGAACTTGGTTCCAGGAATTTTTTTTTTTTCATTGATTCTTTTTAGTTTTTAAAGTAACCTTCTTGGGGGTGGTGCCTGTGGCTCAAAGGAGTAAAGCGCCGGCCCCATATGCCTGAGATGGCGGGTTCAAACCCAGCCCCGACCAAAAACTGCAGAAAAAAAAAGTATAAAGTAAGCTTCTTGTTATCTACTATATTGTTTCCTTCCTCCTGCCTAGTAGGAATGTCTCTAGTTTCAGCTTCATGTCTTATTGCGTTGGTAAGAATGTAAAATAATTTTTACAAAAATGTAAAATAATTTTTAATGATGATAGCAGGCCTTCTTGCTTTGTTTCAGTAAATCCAATTTCCTGATAGTAACGAGGCTCTGGAGGAAGGATAGGGCAAAAGGGAAGAGTGGTATTTACTTAGAGTAGAAAACATTTTCTTACAGGCTGGGAATCTGTTTAAGGAAAACCTATACGGGATGTGTGGCATGCACAGATGGGAAAGATCTCAGTGAGGAGAGGGCGTAAGATATTTGTTCATTCTGACTACCGGTATCTTATTTATGATCATCAACATTTTTAAAACTACATATAAAAGTATTATTTAACTTAGGAGACTTAAAAACAACAGAAATTATGAAGACGTGAGTTTGTATGATGGAATAACTAAATTCAGCTTACAAGGAAATGTTAACTTAATCCTGAACATGCAACGTGCAAGTAATACACAGTGTGCTTCTGACGCTGATTTTCAGCTCTACTCATTAGGGAAAAAAATGGCAAAATCCTTTTCCAGTTGTAGCTAAAGAATATGACCACTTTCTTTTTTATTTTCCTTATCATCTCGGTAGAACATTTATTTTCCTATGTATCACACAGGTCTGTGCCAGAATGCTAATTCTTTGCACCTAGGATTTAGGGCTACCTGCAGGGCCTTCTAAGTGTCTATCTGTTGCTCGTTCAAGTTCACATTGAACTTGGGTCATTGTCCAAGAAAAGTACCAGAAACTTGCTGCCACTCTAGAAATAACTCTTACTCTGCTGTGATCTCTTTCTTTCTATGGTCTTTACTGTCCTATCTACTTTGTATCACAGCTGAGGTCTCTGCTCTGCACATTCTTCTGACATTTGGGGAGGATCTGTGAGTAGGGTTGTGGCAAGAAAGTGGCTCCCCCCAGTTTCATATGCTACAGAAGCCTTCTACAGGGCTGGGCTCATAGTACATCAACTCTGTGACAGCACATGAACACGTGAATGGTGCTCCTGTTCCCCTTATTATCCCCCTTCTTCCTGAGAGCTCCTCTTCCCCAGCCCCCAAGCAACAGTGCCTTCTTGTATGCCCCAGGGTAGTTTCCCCTCAGCCAGCAATCTTCATTCCAGAATTTTTAGCCACAGCTCTGATTGTGTGTGTCCCAGATTCTCTTTCCTTGGCTCCTACTCTCTGCTGTCTGATAATCAGTGTATTCCAAAGGCTGTGAGTGGTGCATTGCCTCTGAATTTTCCTTAGGTTGCATTTGGACTTCTGATATCAGAGGGCCTTAAGGTATTGCTTCTAATGTTGGGGGACTCAGGCCCTCCCCACACCCTAATAAGGAGCAGGAAGGATTTGGTTGGCCCTAGCATCATGTCCTTGAGTACTTTTTAAATGTGGTCTGCTCTTGCATTTGGTATATGCCCGTAATAAAAATACGTGTGCATGGTTCCCAGCTATCCAGACACTCATTCTGCAGTAGTACATAGGTGGATACCAATATATTAGTTCTCTCTGTGTGGATTATTTAGGCATGTCTTCTGGACACACATCCTGCAGACATTTACTGCCCAGTTCCACTCCGTTTGCTCCCCATCCTTCACGTCTAGGCATCCAGGGAAGGGAAGTTGATACCACACTCTTCTTGAGCACCTGCTACCACATCTCAGAACCCTCGTTTGCAGAAGGTGTCGACCCAAATTGAACATTCCTTCTCTATGCTGAAGGGTCAGCTTAATTTAAGTCTTTGTGGTTGTGATTTCCCAATAGTTTTCAAAATGTGAAGTTACTTTATTCTCTCATGCTGTACCCATTTGTCCAGAGGAATTCACCAAAGTAGTTTTTTTAATTGTTGTAAAATACAACATAAAGTTTACCACCTTAACCATTGTTAGTGTACAGTTTGGTAGTGTTGTACATTCACATTGTTGTGTAATCAATTTCTAGAACTCTCTGCATCTTCCAAAACTGAAACTCTGCACCATTAAACAGCTCCCCCCAACTCTCTCCTCCAGACACTGGCAACTACTCTTCTACTAATACTTTCTGTCTCTATGAGTGTGGCTATTCCAGGTACCTCATGTGAGTAGACTCAAATAGTGTTCGGCTTTCTGTGACTTGCTTATTTCATTTGGCCAAATGTCCTCAGGGTTCATCTACATTGTAGCATATATCAGAATTTCCTTCCTTTTAAAGGCTGGTTAATATTTCATCGTGTGTATCTACCACATTTTGTTTCTCCATTCATCCATTGATCTTCCATCTTTTGGCTATTGTGAATAACACTTCTATGAACATGAGTGTACAAATATCTCTTCCATACTCTGACTTCAGTTCTTGTCAGTACATTTCCAGAGATAAAATGGTTGGATCAGGGCTGGGTGCAGTGGCTCACGCCTATAATCCCAGCACTCTGAGAGGCCAAGGCAGGTGGACTGTTGGAGCTTAGTAGTTTGAGACCAGCCTGAGCAAGAGCAAGACACTGTTTCTAAAA